ACATCTGTCTCCAGAGGTGGAAACAAACACCAATGTTAACTCTGGTCTCTGTCACGTCTTCTCTTCTGCTGAAGTTAGCATGCTAACAGCTAGCCCCAGCCTGTCTCCTCACTGGAGCCTCCAGTCTGAAGACGTAGCTGCTCAGAGGACGTGTTATAACGTCTTGTCTTATAAAGACAAAGATGCTTTTGTGAAGAGACAATCAGATAGCTCCTTTGATTAACCCAGTCCTGGACAGTTAGACACAACATGAGCGAAAACTTTCTTAGTGTAATGATCCAGTGTGAATCATGTTGCACTGAGGCTGTGAAACACTGAGGTGTGAGGCTCTGGATGTTTCCAACAGTGTAAACCAGTAAATCCCCTCGGAAGAGATTAGGAAAAGAGATCAAAGAAAATAAAGACAGAAAAAAAAGCATGCTGTGTTATCGAAAGAAAGAATCAAAGAGAGAGCGAGGGATAGAAAAAGACAATAGGCAGGAAACAAGGAGGTGGAGACAGAGGAAAAGAAACTAAGCAAGAAATTGAAATAACAGGAGGAGGTGAAGATGGAGGGAGGAGGAGACTGTTACAGATGAGGGAGGGAGGAGGGTGGAGGGTTTCTTATGTTACGGGGCTTCAGACCTTTTGACCCACAGGAAGAGGTGAAGTGGAACGGATGGAGGGATTAAAGGAAAACTTGAGGAGCAGATGAAAATGTGGAGCAGTGAAGGAAGCAGGTGTGAATTTAAAAAGGTGGTAGATGGAGAGCAGTGAAGGAGGGTGAGATGAGGTGGTGGGGGGGGGGTGCAGTGTTCATACACACTGTCCTCCCCTCGAACACCACCTGTAGGTTGATGGAAGCAGCTCCCCCCACCCGTCCCTCAGGTTCCATCCAGCTCTTTCCATCATGTGAGTGAAGCTGATCTTTGTGACGAGGGATTCCACCGTCTTCCTCTCGGTGCGACCCGGCTCTCCCCGATACGACACAAGCCACGGCGTGAATGTGGAAAAAGAATTTCCATTTCCATTGACTGAAGTTTGCTGAACTGTGTGACTGTTTTCTCACTTCCTGGATCTCTCCGTCCACTTCCTGTGTTGGTACACTCTGCAGGTGGGCTCACTCTGACAGGAGAAACTCGCCATGTTGAAAGTGTCGGGGTTGTTCGGGGTCTTGTGGAGCAGTTTCAAATCTGTCATCTGGAATTGTGTTTCAGGATTAAAAGCTGCTTTTACCTTCATGGAGGGAGTATAATACATCACACACACACACACACACACACACACACACACACACACAGACCTGGAGTGAATTACAGAGATGAAGTAAAGTGAAATGTAAAAGAAGCGTGAAACGAGCTGCAGCCGGAGCAGAATCAGGAAGAAGCTTTGATTCTCTAAATGAATCATTGTTCATCTGCTGAAGTCATGAGACAGAAATGACACAGAGTCATTGGTCAGGAATGAGGTGGGCGTCTCTGACTGAGGACACGTCTCTCTGTCTGTTTACTGACATGTTTATGGAGCTGTGTCATCAGGGATCAACAGGATCCAGTTAGTCTCTGCAGGACACTGTGGAGCTGATCTGTCTTCAGTGTTCACAGGTCCAGGTCTGAGTCCAGGTCTGAGTCCAGGTCTGAGTCCAGGTCTGAGTCCAGGTCTGAGTCCAGGTCTGAGTCCAGGTCTAAGTCCAGGTCTAGGTACAGGTCTAAGTCTAAGTCCAGGTACAGGTCTAAATCAATACCAGGTACAGGTCTAAGTCTAAGTCCAGGTACAGGTCTAAATCAATACCAGGTACAGGTATAGGTCTAGATCCAGGTCTAGGTCCAGGTACAGGTCTAAGTCCAGGTCCATGTCTAAGTCCAGGTCTAGGTACAGGTCTAAGTCTAAGTCCAGGTACAGGTCTAAGTCTAGGTCCAGGTCTAAGTCTAAGTCCAGGTCTAGGTACAGGTCTAAGTCGAGGTCCAGGTACAGGTCTAAATCTAGGTCCAGGTCCATGTCTAGGTACAGGTCTAAGTCTAAGTCCAGGTACAGGTCTAAGTCCAGGTACAGTTGCAGGTCTAAGTCCAGGTACAGGTCTAAGTCTAGGTCCGGGTCCATGTCTAAGTCCAGGTTTAGGTACAGGTCTAAGTCTAAGTCCAGGTACAGGTCTAAGTCTAAGGCCAGGTCTAGGTCCAGGTCTAGGTACAGGTCCAGGTCTAAGTCTATGTCCAGGTACAGGTCTAAGTTTAAGTCCAGGTCCATGTCTAAGTCCAGGTCTAGGTACAGGTCTAAGTCTAAGTCCAGGTTTAGGTCCAGGTCTAAGTCCAGTTTAGGTACAGGTCTAAGTCCAGGTACAGGTCCAAGTCTAAGTCCAGGTCCAATTCTAAGTCCAGGTTTAGGTACAGGTCCAAGTCTAAGTCCAGGTCTAAGTCTAAGTCCAGGTTTCGGTCTAAGTCCAGGTCTAGGTACAGGTACAAGTCTAAGTCTAGGTACAGGTACAGGTACAGGTCTAAGTCTAGGTCCAGGTACAGGTACAGGTCTAAGTCCAGGTCTAGGTCTAAGTCCAGGTCTAGGTACAGGTCCAAGTCTAAGCCCAGGTACAGGTACAGGTCCAAGTCTAAGTCCAGGTACAGGTACAGGTCTAAGTCCAGGTCTAGGTCTAAGTCCAGGTCTAGGTACAGGTACAAGTCTAAGTCTAGGTCCAGGTCTAGGTCTAAGTCCAGGTCTAGGTACAGGTACAAGTCTAAGTACAAGTACAAGTCTAAGTCCAGGTACAGGTACAAGTCTAGGTCTAACCAGGTACAGGTACAAGTCTAAGTACAGGTACAAGTCTAAGTCTAAGTCCAGGTACAGGTACAAGTTTAGGTCTAACCAGGTACAGGTCTAAGTCCAGGTCTAGGTCTAGGTCTAGGTACAGGTACAAGTCTAAGTCCAGGTCTAGGTGTAAGTCTAGGTACAGGTACAAGTCTAGGTCTTAGTCCAGGTACAGGTCTAAGTCCAGGTCTAGGTACAGGTACAAGTCTAAATCTAGGTCCAGGTCTAAGTCCAGGTCTAAGTCCAGGTGCAGGTACAAGTCTAAATCTAGGTCCAGGTCTAAGTCCAGGTCTAGGTACAGGTATAAATCTAAGTCCAGGAGTTTGTTTCTTGTCATTCATCTGTTTTTTCTTTATTATCTCCATGTCTTCTGAGATGTAAATAC